AAGTCAAATAGTCAGTCATTTTGAGAGGAATCAAACAGTCTGTCATTGCGAGTGAAGTCAAATAGTCTGTTATTGCGAGTGCAGTCAAACATTGCAATTGAAAAAAAAATGTACCTAAATGTTTTCATGATTTTGATCGAGCAGATACCCCTAACGTTATGAATGATCTGATTTATTAATGATACAGTGAGTATGAATAATTCCACCACAAGAGAAAAAGTCTCCAAAAGTGCAGGCACAAAAAATGTTGATTTAGTTAGTTAATTGGTTAAAGTGTAACAGTTGTTGCGTAAAACAGGCGTCTTTCAAGCAAAATTGTACATTACATATGCATATGTCCCATGGGACCCACTCAGACATGGGGTGGCGCAATGACTGAGAAGCTTTAAAACAAAATTTTCAAAGTTTGACGAATATCTGATTAAACTTAACCACAAAACATCTACCAAATAACTAGCAGATCATCAATTTTTGAAGAATCAGTGTTAATGGTTTTATGGTTCTTTCTAAAATTCACTGCATACAAAATAAATGTGAATATCAGAATTAGTATACCGTAAGTTATTTACAAGAAAGAGAACTGACCCACAATGATTTGACCCACCACACATTTGTTAGTACCATGTGTGATATGTATCAATACTTTTGACCTTTCATATATAACAAAACCTAAATAATTTTCTTTCATAAAGTTTTATCAAAACCAAAGGATAATTATGTTTATTTGATCTAAATTTAATAAAGAAATCATAGAAAAATACATAAAAATGTTGCACCCAAATTTTGATGAAAAGTGGGTAATTTTATTAAATTCAATTTATTAATTGGATTATTGACATCATTAATTGAAGGCTTTATACACCCCAAATATGAATCAATGACAATTTGAGGAAAAGTAAGCAATGCAGTAATATGCTAGTTGCTTTTGAATGTCTAAAGCTGGGCGTGACTTAACACTTTGATACAGGAATTCTTGTTATTGTCTATTTCAATGTTAAAAAAACAACACTTCAGAACTAGATTTGGAAATAAGGGCTCAGGTTGCTTATATCTTGGCCTAATTCAGGGTACCCCCAGTACCCTTTTTTTGAATGGTTGTTTTATTTAAATTGATGAATCCTTTCATTCAGCAATTTCATAAGAATTTGTTGTGCCTTTAAATTTTCCAAATTTTTTTCTTAGGTAGTCATCCTTAAAGAAATTGGCAACACATTGAATAGACCAATTTTCATTTACTGCAAAATCCCATGTTTACATATATTTCCATCTTAATAATGTGCTATATACATTTTATCATGATCAATTTTGATGAAGTATGCGTTTCTCAAAACCATATTTCTAGCTGATAGGTTGGCATTTCAACACTAAGCTATAAATAAAATTCAAGTTCAAAATCAAATTATATGATTTATGCAGGAAACATTCAGCCTGCGCCATTCACACAATACACGAGATCTCACAGTGAACGGAAAATCACCTACTCAATCACTCAGAAACTTGAGAGTAAAGTGCACCCTCTAGAGGCAGAAACAAACTTTTTGATACTTTTTGAGCAAATCTTACAAAGATCATATTGATGACTGGACTACACAGCCAAAGACACTCCTTTCACTAAAGAAACAAAAAGATACTTCCTCTTGACTCAGAAGACAGACCAAGAAAGAAATCTGTGCACATGTAAACTTAGTTGTGAAAGAATCACCCGCCCACATGCAACAATTGTAAGACAGACTTTACAGCCCACTCACTTCACTTTGTATAGCATGGAAACAGACTCCTATACGACCCAGTTCATAAACAAGGGGACGCCTGTTAAAGCTGAACACAGCTTGAAAATAATATTAAACTAATATTAATCAACTACATAATCTGATGAATCAATAAAATTTAAGATATTTCAAATTGTCATTGATCCATAACCTCTAATATTTATATGGTTATTACAGTCATTAAAATCATATCTATTTGATAAAAGGGAATAACTGAACATAATAAAATTATTGCATTGTCTACATTTAAAAGATTTGTTATGTATAATAATATTTAAAAGTCGCATAATGTGCATTATTTTAGTGTGTTGTAGTGTTTTTAAATATAGCTTACACAACTAATTTTGTATTCATTATAAATGTTGGTGTTACACACAACTATTAAATTCAGTAGAATACGTATCATTGTTTTAAGTTGAAAAAAAAATTAAACAAAATTTGTAAAGATTTATATGGAGTTATTAGAATCAATTTCCCATGGGAAATGTATTTTGTACAGTGATCAATTAAATTTGTTAAGTCCTGGTAACGCAAAAACAGTAAGATCATTGGAAATGGAAGTTTAAATCAATGACTACCAATAGGCCACGTAGACCGATATGAAAGACGAAGTCCCGTGTCTATTGTTCGCTTTGTTATTACCCCCAGTAAATTGACCAACTCAGGAGTGGCAACAGAAAACAAAGAATAAAAGGCCTCCTTTATCAGCCAATTACCGAGAGGCTTTCCTCCTGATCGACACGCTGCTTCCGTTGTAGCCTTACACTACATGTTGATGTCGGCATTATGGAGTGAAAAAATGTGTGGGGACCGAGGGCTGTGTTGCGAGTGTGTAGGAGGACAGGTGGATTCTGCCAAGCAACAGGTAAAGAAAATAAAGCACACTACATACGCGACTGTCAACAGGTGCTCGCCGTTGAATTCTTTGACGAGAACAAAATTGCTTAAGCAATTTCTGCGCTCTTGGCAGTCATCTGGAAATCCTATCTAATGAAAGTCATTCAGGGAGTCGAATAAGTTCGAAGTCCACGCAGAAAACGTAAAACCAAACGTGAATGGACTTGTGACGTTACGTCTAATTGTTCGTTTGTTTGTAACCCCTTTCCTCGATGACCTTCCAATAACAGAAATAACCACGTAAAGTCGTCGTTGCCACATGTGAATGTATCAGGCTGGCTTGTCTATAAATTATTACCAAGGAAACTCGGCTACTGTTAAAAATATCATAACTTGCGCCGTGGAAGGCATTCTTTCTACGCTTCTGCCAATCTCTTTTATTTATTTTTATTTATCACTTTTAACTCTATAAAATCGCCTTCTGCTACAGTAGTATGACATCATCAAAGTTTGTTTTGATTTTGGAACAGATTTAATATTATAATAATATTTAAATCGATAATTGGGTGGCCCAAACACAATGGTATACAAATTTTCTGTAATCTCTTATGAGTAGATTAATAAAATGAAGTTAAATGATTTATCAAAACATTTTTAACGTCAATAATAAATTAATATTTCAATCTCAGCCAATTTATGTAACAAATTATTAAATTAAATTATGGGCGCAATCATATATTAAAACTAGTGTTTTGGATTCAAAAGAATCAAACTACTTGAACAGATATCTGACATCTCCATTAAGCTGCTGTGTTCTGTTTATATTTTATATCAAATGAATAAAAGGCCCTAATTTGATCTCTGCTGGTATGTAAAGTAAGTCAATCGGAAATAACTGATGTGTCAGGCGCTGACAAAGTGTAATAAATTTTTGACGAGAAAAATATGCATAAGGCAAAGAATAATGAGAATAACCTAAATTTGACAGAGTAAGTATACTAAAGTCTTTCAGCATGACCTCCCCAAAGAACATGGTCTCTGTGAATGGTACAAACCATTCATAGGAAACTGGGAGATTCCATTAATGAAAACAGGGGTGAATAGGGATATATTGAGGGGCTGCCAGCATTGTTACTTGTAACTGTATGGTGTAGATTACATATTAGCGAAGTGGAAAAGGTAGAAAATAAAACATATGACACAGTCTAAATTAAATGGTAAGAAATTTATATATTTACAAAATTGTTTTTGTACAAGAGAATTTACATGACGAACAAAATAAACAACAAACAAACAAATAGAAGGAACAACAGTTAGAAAGTAAACAATGCTAGGTAAACCCCTGAATACATCATACAATGTTGTTTTCGACATTGTAGCAAATAAATTGTAAGAGCCAGAAATTACAAATCATACTATACTACTGATCAATGTAGAAATGCATGTTTTTCTCCATTTTCTCATTATCATCTGTCTTTTACTCAATTTAACACTCAGCTGGAACTAGTCCTCTAAAACACTTTTTTTTTTCTGTCTTTTTTTCTATCTTAGAAAATAATAGAGTTGTGTTTATAGACTTGCCTAACAAGTGTCTTTTGATCTTATACACTGCATTGACAGGAAGTTCTGAAGGACACTCACAAAACCCACCAACTATTTCACATTATTCTTATCCACTGCTTAGTTACTTACTGTTTAAATCCAGCATAAACTACCGGTATATTATCAAAAATTATATAAGAAATGTATAAAAATCAGAAAAAAAATCACACTTTTTTTGTAAAAATATTGCAGGTATTTACAGAACATTAAGGATTATTTTGTCAAGTAAATGGAAAAAATAAACTTTGACGATCTCAAAATAAAAAAAAAAATAAAAAATAACAAAACTGCACAATTGAACATCAAAATATAAACTGGGTTTTTTTACTGGTAAAAAAATAAATCATCCCTTTCGCTCCAGGAATGTATAACTTACTTCTGCTTCAGCCTCCGCCCTCCTTTCTAGCTCTTCTCGATGTATTCTTTGCCTTTCTTCGAACTCTCGAAGTCTTCTCTGTGTTTGTTCTATTGTTTGTTTCATTATTGTGTCTTCAATCTAAAGCGAACAAAAATGAAAAAAAATAATAATAAACAAATCTTGTTTTCTATAATTAGCAGTTATTTTTCATGTGCATATTTGAGGAATTACTGATTTTAAGATATTACTGCCTTCATATGATCAACAACATGTAACAAGCAAGAATTAAATCAGAAATTGTATTTATATTGTGCTGCAATAAAAAAAATATTGTTCTTCAGTTTGTTGTGTTTCAGATACATATATAACAATTTTATAATCCAAAACATTTACAACGGTAAATGTATTTTTTCCAAGTGTGATAAATTGCATTAGGTACTTTGTAATCGCGTGACTATGCTTTCAGTAATTATTATCATGTCTCATTTAAGACTTGACGCCATAGCAACAGATTCCTTCTCAGTAAATTCAAAATGGCTGCCATCATTTCAGTGTTCAAGAATGAACTGTAACAAGTTGTATATTGCAAGAATTGTTGTAAATTTATATTTGTGTAAAAATAAATCATATTTTTAAGATAAAATTATGTGTTTTTAAACAGAAAATATCGCTGCTTCTGAACTTTTTATTTATAGGGTCTCTTTTTCTCCCAATATCATGCATTTTCAAGTCAAGGAGCAGGCAATGTATTCCTACTTAAGCCAAAAATAGAATTCTAAATGGTAAGATGAGCTGCCATCCTTTTTTGTACTTTTTGCTGGTTCTCATTAACGTCTGTTTTTCAATCATCTCTAGTGAGAAAGTGAAATATTAATTGCATTCCACGTGAATGGGATAATTGAAACTGTTACTTGTACATCCAATAGTACAATAAAATTATTCTTTTATATTAACAAAGAACAGATTATCCTCATATAATCCAGACAGAAATATTATTATAATTTTATAATTTTTAACATCTAACTATTGAACTATTAACTTTGCATTTATTCACTATTTCATCTCTAATATCCAATGTTTGTAATATTGTATTAACATTTTGTTATATGCATGTGTTTTATCAAAAATATCATTAAAAAGACAAAGACAATACCCATATCACTATAAGATTAGTATTAACATTTGATTTGTATGCATGTCTTTTTAAAATTAGTGTTCAACAAGGTGGATAACACCCAATGTTACTCGTATTAAAGTTATATGCTTGTGTTTATAAGACGAATGAAATCCAGTGTGAGATAAAAAAATTGTTCAAGTTTCATGATCGTATTAATTACTGATTCAATCTATTTTGAATAAGGCCTGATTTCGAACTTGTGCATTTTTCAATAAATTACAAACCACAGTTATGTATGGACAATGGTCACATGTCCTTGAATCACGGCCATCATAGCATTCCAGCACACAACCAACACATGTTCAAATCTCAGACACTCGAAATGGTCACACTTTTAAATAAATGTTAGCAAGAAAAATCTTCATATCTGACAGTAACCATATTTTTTCTGTCACCAAAAATGTTTTTCACGATGTTATATTGTTGGTTATATTGCTAATTTAGTGTAGATTCACACCAGACCATTTTCCCCCTCCCAGTTCCAAGATGGCCGACTTTGCTTCCGTGGCAGACAGTCGAGCGGATATTTTTTTCTTTCAACTTATAACCTTTTAAATATTAATATCAAATACACAAAATGTCGTTCGATGTCAAGCTCACAGATTAAGAAAATCATTTTTTTTTGCATTTGTATAATACTTAGTTCCTAAAAAACGTTGCGGAAAATGACTTCAAAACCAGGCGAATGCAATAAAACTTCAACATGATCATTCTCCCTTACCTGTGCTCGTTCTGCGTCGTATTCTAAACAACCAATACCATCAAGTCTTTCAATGTCCATCCATGCTCTAAATATGACACACACGCCATTGAATATAAACTGGGAACGTAAGTGGACCTGTGAAACGAATGAGAGACACTGTTGGCAAGTGACTATATTTTGAACAAATCCACTGCACATGTACAAATATGCAATATAAATGTGAAAACTATTATTTATGTATTTACAGCAATTAGAATTACACAGGAAAATTATGTGTATGATCTCATTTTGTTAAATATATCATTTCTATTTTCTGCCTCAGATAGTCAGATCAAGTTCGGACTTCATTTTAATCTCAACATATCTATCCCCCGGCCTAACTTCAATTTGTATCTACAAAACTAAATTTAATCTTAGTAATCGAAAGACAGACATTTTTTACTGTTATTATTTAAATGCACTAAACATATAGACTAATTTTTGATTTCGTCAAAAGAACACATTAATTTCAGTGTGTATACTTTACATCGCTAACTTCAAGAATTTCAAAATAAAGAAACAAATATTTCTTTCGTATTTGTTATTGTCTACGGATTTCTCACAAATTGTTCGTATGAATTCAGCAAATTTTTAACGGATCTATCAAACTATAGCTGCCGTGTACGAGTTGAATCTAGCAAATTAAATATATGTGTTTTGACGTGACTTTCAAAATGACAGACACACGGTGACGAGAAATGAAATCGTGACTGTAAGTTTGATAAGATGTAACACATAGATGATTTGCACTCATAACAAAAAACTCAATCATATTTATGATGTATCTATGTATGTGTCTCCGATTGGTGCTCGATGTGTTCACAGCGGTGGCCATTTCGTTTTTCTGGATTGTAACTTGAAGAACTGTCATCGTGCCTTGTAGTAACATCGCGAGTTACGGGTTGGCCGGTACGCGACATCTACATTCTCTCACCGATCCATGTATAAATGTACCAATCTCATTCTATCTATCATTAAAATGTGACATATTGTGGAAACGATTTGATGGAGTGTCCACGACCTTTTAATATATTTTTCAAATTTGATAGTTTCGATTTCATTGCGTTATTTCATTCGAGTTCCCGACGTAAGCTATGAGTTGTTCGAATCAATCGTATACAAAACTATCCATCTAAAAATTACATTTTTGTATAATATTAAATTTAATTAATTATTTGATCTGATAATGTATTGCTTGTGTATCAATAATTGAATCAACATTTATCCAGAACGTGCGGATTACGGCGACCAACGCAAACCACGAGAAGTATATATGCCTATATCACGACACAACACTTGGACGGCAACTACGCCCGCACATATTATGACGACTCGTGATTTCAAGGCTATGTTTTTTATACCCACAATATTCCAACGACCATACACATCGCTTAAAATATACCCTTTCCTGCATTTTCATGTTTATTTACTTGCACTGATATCGTCGCCCTCCTGTGGTCAGTTCATCGTCTAGCACAGCTCGACGGGGATATGAACAAATGCAGACGCGGTGATGTTCCATATTGTGTGAATTGCGTGACAAAACTAACGGTTAAATAATTTATTAATTAAAGAAAGTGATTAATATAAAATGTTTTATTTTGTCATTAGTGCTTCTATTATATTTTGGCTACAGGCGACGGTCATTGTGATAGTACAGATTGGCAGACAATGTTATGAATATTTTAAACCTTTTCCCCCAAACTCTCGCATTGCCGTCGATGTTTGGCGGAAATCACTGCAGTTGTCTGCCGTGGAGACAATATTACACACGTAACAACTGAACACTCGCGGCAGACAAACAAAAATGTCGTTATCGCCGTTCTGAGAAAGCTCCCGTCGTAATACTGAACACATGGCAAAGTGCTACATTGTATTGAATAGAGAAAAATGTAACAGTAAATGAAAGCAACGGCCACCTATTACGAGAGCGTTTAATGACATCGACGGTCTGCCAAACAACATTAATCGTTTTTGCCGGAGTAATTTAAACCAAACACTCAATTACATGGCGATTACTAAGTTTTAACGATCTTTAAAAGTGAGTAAGTATTTGTGATGTCGTTTTTAAGTGAATATGTATTTTATTTCCAACAAGAATTATATATATAGTGAAAACATTCCCGTCAGCCTGAGTTAAATGCGCACAAGAGATAGCAGAAAAGCGGGCGTTACGCCAATTGTGTGAGAGTTTGTCAGGGGATACCCTGCAACAATGTGGTACAACATTTGATCAGACAAATACGATATTTTTGGTTTGGGACAAACATTCTAGTGAGAATTAAAAGTACATCATTTTGTGAATTGGGAAGTCGAAGCTCCGAGTCCGCAAAAAATGAGTAAACAATCGGTGCGTCAGTCATAGCATGGACACCACACCGTAAGGCCCTACAGTATACTAATATTACAGCCTTTGACCACACGCCTGGGGAAGATCTATTCAACTTGATTATAATCTACTACTAGCAGTATGAATATCTGGCAATTACATCCTCCTATGTTTGGACATTTTCCAGAATAATGACGATGCAACTAATATGGGGTTGTTTCTTACACAAGTCCGCCATAACGACTGCTATTTCACGCCGACGTGTGTTATATGTGAGAAACGCTGACGACTTTCGAAGTATCAGAAATTTTCGCATAAATAATATTGTCTGTGGTGACTTCATATGATACCCTAATTTCAACACTTATCTGGTAATTTCAAGTATGTAGGGCCAGGCGTGCTTTCTCTGAATTTGAATTAGAGGTGCACGTACAGTCATGTGAGTTTAAAACGCGGGAAGCCTATATTCCGTTCATTATGATATCCCGGATGAATCCGGCGAACTGCCCTGGTGTCACCAAGTATGCGATTACTGATTTCATTTTCCAGTCAGACCCGCGTGGTGTCCATGTTTTTTTTTTTGTTTTTTTTTTGGCGATGGTTCAATATTTTAGGCATTCCTCTGACGGAAAACGCACCGCGCGGCAATATTGGCTGCCTGCCATATAGTGACGAAACGGATTAACATGTACGCCATGATTATGGACTCAGAACATGCATCGGTATACACGCAGTAGTTACTTCACCGAACGAAATGCGTCACAACAACTTATTGTCGTACGCGTTATGATCGGCCCGCCGTTATCGTACATACGGACCGGACTTCCGTCTCCGGTTAAAAGAAATAAGTATTCTAAACCCAATCGATTGCAGTATATATGGATTCGACATGCCATATAGTAAATGTACGTAAGCCGCAATGGCAATCGAATCATACCGGTATTTGGCGATCGATCCATACTAAAATGCATCGATGAGGGTCGAAAGAAAGAAAGATCCATATATTTATATAAGTTTCGGAAAATGGGAATTATATTAAAAATATCGTTATGACTAGTCCCGTATGTATGTCCCTGACATACTGATAATACTTTGCACCATGTGGGTTGGGCCGACCGGAAAAAATACTGGTTGAGTACCTCGGTGCGTATTACATCCGCGATGATTAACAAGACGGACACCACAGGTCAGTGACATTGTCTCTGGTCTGTACAAGTTCTCGATTTACACGTAGTATGACATCGTGATCGACCGCGTATTAAGCTGCCGGCCCAAACAGGGACTTGGTGTCGGCTTCGTCGACGATACGACGCCATTGACCAACCCACTTTCTGCTACCCCCGCTATTTCGAACTGAAGACGAGCATTTTCACAACAAGACAGTGTAGCCCCGGTACGTCGTGAGTATACGAATACACCACGCACACTAAGACCTTGGATCGACACCCATGCATAATCCGACGCCTATTTCATGTACATACAAATACAGACAAGATTAAAATAAATAATATTTCCTTCTCACCTTTCCCGCTTCTTTTTCAAAGTCTACGAACTCTTTGGTAGGTACTCTGTCTGTTTTGCTTTCGCTCCAGGCATTGGTTGCGAATTGCAAATGTAAATTTGAACCCGTAGCGGTGAATGCCTATCAGACCAAGAAAAAAGTTAAGAGGACAACAGTTAACTACGATAAGTTCACATAACGCACCTAATTAAATTTACAACAGGGCGAACTAAATCATTTGGACATAACGTGTGATTCAGTGTCACTATGTGTCATGTATATAGGCTTGCCGCTTTGAATTACTTACGATTTCCGAGTGTCCTTCCCGACACGCCGACCGAAATCGAACTTGCCTCTCTTCGAGCGACCTGTCTCGGAACCCCGTATATCGAACCTGCAACAAGAGAGAAGAATTGCTAGAACAGTTAAAACAACACAAACATTATTCATTGATAGTTCGGTACGATTATTATGAAACGCCGTGTGGCTATAACGTGCAATCGACCCTCACTTCCGGGTTGCCAGTCTCGCTATACATGTATAGTACATGCCTGTATGTATGTATGTGTATGTATGTATACAACGTTATTAAGAAGTACCTCGCACTCGCGGCTGAGTTTCCTAAACAGCTCGTCGCTTTCAAATTTCTCCTTCTGATTCGCGACTACCCTCGGCATGGTGTACTCCAAACAACGTAAACGATGTTGAGTGTACGTACAGGGAGAACGAACTAGTAGAGTGACATCGCAGAGCGGTCAAAATGTCCATTCATCCCCGACGCCGGTTCATGTAATTCAATGATCCCCGCCCCCTTCACGCTGATTGGCTATTATTACAGAACAAACAAGGGCAGGTTATTCTGATAGTTTCCAAATAAGGAAGTCATCCCACTCGTATTGTTCGGAAGAATCGCATGTCACTGTGATTGGTTTCCGAAGATTAGCGAAAATACAGACACTCATTCGGCTTTGTTCGGAAATCAGTTATCTCCGTAAAAGGCGTGGGGCTTCACTGTTATTCTAATTTCCACGTGGAGATAATCACACAGTAACTTCTCGTTGTAAGTGCCCATTGGTTTCATTTTTCGTCAGGAAAACACCCAGTTATTCGGCAAAAGATGTCGAAGTAGGAACAGTTTGACGCGTGGGGGACGGGCCTGATTTTCTTTGATCCATAATTTATTCCGTTTACCTGACGCGGTCTATGACAAGCACGCTTACACACGCGACAACGCTCAACTCTGTAAACAGTGCGGGGAACAGAAAACGCGGCTCACGCACACATAACACAATATTTACAAGTTTTTGTGAAAAATAAAGCTCGGAGGTAAACGCCGGAGAGTCACTATCGCACTATATTTTTAGGAATTCCGACCGAGATGTGCGTACCAGCATAAGGAAGTCGAAGTTGTAAGCAATCAGCCAGTGAGGGCACACGTAGTGAACAACTATTTACAGGCACGGTGTCAGATCATCGAGTTAAAATAATAATTGTGGCATACACTAACAGACTACATTCATATTTATGTATGTTGAAAAGATACACGTGTCCGCTACCTGGCACCGGTGTTTATGGCTAAGCAACAACTTTTAAAGCGCCGACCACTCACTTACTCATACCCGCGAAATGTGCGAATAATGTTGCACAATACTGGGGGCTAAGACAGTTGAACTAATATTGCGGCGATATTTGAAAATCCTGCGGCATTACACTTTGATATTAACACACCAGCTATGAAAACAGTACAGTTTTCTTTTTTTAACCGTGATTTAATAACACGTTTCGGATAACAATGGGAAACTAACTATCTCTACTCAGCCCGAAACAACTTTCCCCCAAGTTGTAACGCCAGTAAAACCAGGATTCTAAACGCGCTTACTATGTTACAATGATTTCCCCTGATTTGACATAGGATGAATTCCGGCGTTGCGAAGCGATCAGCAGAAAACCGGGTCAAACAATAGCAATTTCATCATGCATAGCAAAATAGAGTTTGAACGAAAGCATATGGGAAGTTAAGAGCAGTAGAGGCACAATGGGCACCAGAACAGAATGCACACCCACGTAAAACCGCAATCGAATTTGCTATATGCGTTTTATTTCGTTTATGATTTGCTTGGCAGATTGTCGAAAACCCCACAAATCGAAATGTTATACGTATGACGATATAAATATTAAATTGTTTAACTGACTGGTATGTGTGTATTATACCAGTGTTCGCCGCCGCACGTTACATCACACGAGTGCGTATATCCCCGACGGACGAAACCGCTGTCGTGCGTGTTATAAACATGGTGGATATGCGCGAAACGCGTAACTTCGGCTAGAACAAAGGAACGATTTCAACATGAAAACATTGCTTCGTTTGTCGTGTTTTCGTGGAAAATATCATATATCAATATCAGCAATAATTCGGATGATGTTGTGTCAAACAGATACACAATTGTTTGTCATTTTAGTTTGATGATGTGGAGTTACAGTCTGGTCACCGACAGGTGGGACTTACACGCAACAGGTACTCTATGATTCGTGCCGTATTATTGGCAGTGCATGTAATTCAAAACATGCTGAAATAAAATGTGAAACGAAACCACAATCATCTACGTCTATTATTACAAACCTGTTAAAAGGACCCTATATTCATACCACAATTATAAAATTATCATTTTGTATTTATTATGTCCAATAAGAGGAGATTTTCTCATAAACTGGCATTTTGAGTGGGAAGAACTGCCCAAGTAGCTATAGTATACATGAAATAAAAGCAATATATAGCCAAATATTCAACTTCTGTCATAGACGATCAGATGGGGAAACGATGGTGCGCATGCGCTTCTCAATTCACTGACTTTGTTTTCGCTCGTCTATAATTACGGGCATGAAAATTAATACTATCTTCTTGCGTTGGTTCTTTGTGATTTGAAAACAGCCGAAATATTAGGAGCCGAATACATTGGCGTATATCCGTTCAGTTTCAATATTCGGTGGGGACCGTCATAAAAAGAGCAAGTAATAGCATACAAAAGCAATACGCCCACACATGCAGATGGACGCACGTAGTAAGCTTCGCTAACCTGCAACAGACACATGTCTGATTTCCCACAACACGATGTATACACATAAAATTTTCCCAATTAGAACTTTTTAAAAAGTTTTTAGGGTACTCTGCGAATCTGACCTCTTCCAGCTGTACCACTGGCCACAGAGTGAGCGTAGTTAGCATACTCCCACACACCGGAGCCCTCTCTGTATTTTCTTAACCAAACTCGCAAGCGATTGCAGCTGCTGCCAACAACAGCGATCGAAAAACCGCAATCCCCTCAAATTCCCCCTTTCGTCCATGTTGTCATCGATTTCCAGCTGTAACCAGTTGCTTCGAAACCGCATAAAATCTGCCGATAGTTTTCTTATCCACTGGGTTTCCTTTGAACTATATGAGCACTGTACAAAAAATACGTGTTGTACGCCCCTGACAGGCCAATGCTATTTTTTTTTGCGTCATATCAGTTTTAATAACTAGTACTGTAAAGAAACAAACAAGAAATATTTAATTT